GATCGTGATGTGTGCCAGTTGATCGTGGTGTTAATAAAGAAACAACTATTCACTATTTACTATTTACTCATTTACTCAATATCTGCTATTCATTCGCCCGCTGTGCGAAGTAATTATACGAATGATTTTGAATAATTCCGGCCTAAATTCCAATCATGGGAAATAATTTGCATTGAATTCCCACGTGTAGGAATTATTGCTATGTGATTCCTACTCAAATCAACAATTAATGTTCTGCGCTTGGCATAACTTGCTTCTTAATTCCTAACTTAGAAAATTGAGATGAACTTTGCACAAATATCGATGCACTTTTTGCCCGTTTGTGGCTCATCTTGACCCACTTTGGCCCAGAAATAATGTGTCAGTGCTACGTTCGATCATTGCTCGTGATGTGGATAAGAAATAGTGTCACTATTTATTGTGCGATGCGATCCATTCAGTTTTGGCTTCGAACACGCAACGCAAGCGTGCGAGCAACGCCTGTTATTCCAGCGCAGGTGGCGCACCAGTCCCTGCTACATGCACTAGTTTGTCCTCACGCCTCGCAGGTGGCGCACCAGCCCTGTCTCTTATACACATCTAGATGTGTATAAGAGACAGACTGTACAGTTACTGCTGGATGACGACTGTACAGTCACTGCTGGATGACGACTGTACATGCACCAGCACGACCAGCAGGTAATGATGCCAGCTGTACCCAGGTGTTGGTGTAAGGCTGGTAGGCGTGGGTGGTAGTGAGGTAGCTGGTGCCCGTGTAGCCCCCAACACAGACCAGCTGCTCCCCCAGCTGGCAGACCGACACGCTGTCGCAGCCCACGGGCAGACCACCTGGCAACAGCGTCCAGGTGTCTGTTGCTGGGTCGTACCTGTCGGGACAGAGGGTCTATTGTATCAGCATAGTATAAAATATAGTATGTACAGTATATAGTACAGTATAAGTATAGTTTATAGTACAGTATAAGGAGAGTCTATAGTACAGTATAAGTAGTCTATAGTACAGTATAAGTATCGTCTATAGTACAGTATAAGTATAGTTTATAGAACAGTATAAGTATAGTCTATAGTACAGTATAAGTATCGTCTATAGTACAGCAAAAGTATGGTCTATAGTACAGCATAAGTATAGTCTGTAGTACAGTATAGTCTAAATATAGTAGCATAAGATAGTCTAATTTGTTCTTTTATACAGGCTAGATTTAAGACTAGTAAATGGATTTTACTAATTAACCAGCGATGGGTGATTGAGAAACCAGGTTCAGAAAGAGAAAGATATTTACCATATCAACGTATCAAAATTCATTAGCAAGTTACACTACGTAAAACATAACGTTATTAAATTACGTTGATTTAAGTTGTTACATTAAATTATAGAACTCGAAATATGAGATTTTGATCTACATAAGCATTTGATACTACACAAAGATTGAAATTCAAAGACAACTTAAATTTCTTTAATGCTTTGTAGATAATAAAATGTAATTTCAAAATCCCTTCGTGGATTTCGAAATTACTCCCACCCGTGACGCACCTTCCAGCACCCGTGACCCATCTTTCATCACCTGTGTCCCACCTTTCATCACCCGTGACCCACCTTTCATCACCCGTGACCCACCTTTCATCACCCGTGACCCACCTTTCAACGCACTGCAGGCGGGTGACGGTGGGGGAGGAGGCGGGGGCGTCGTGCCCCCCCACGGCATACAGGTGCCCCCCCAGGACCCCCACCCCCACGCCTCCTCGTCGCTGGTGCATACGCGCACATGGCGTCCACCTGCACACAGCGTACATGGCGTGCTATACGTACGTACATGGCATTTTACATCTCGCATTAGTTAAAAATATTGTGTATATCTTATATCTCGCTCTTACATATTATGTATGATCAAAATCTGTCAAAAAAGGACAGTTGTTTACCGTGTAACTTTAAACAACTATGTTATTTAGGCAGCAAAAAAATGAAATTATCTGGAACATAATGCATAATACACACTCGTACGTACACACCTGTTCGTGCGCGGGTCACACGTACACACGTGTCACACGTACACACCTGTCACACGTACACACCTGTTCGTGTGCGGGTCGTAGCACTCGACGCTGCGTAGACACGAGGAGCCGTCGCGCCCCCCCACCGCGTACAGCTTGCCCCCCACCACCCCCACCCCCAGCGATGATCTGCCAACCATCATCATAATCACTACAATTCTATATATCAATCAATTCATAATCACTACAATCACTACGGAAATTTTCTGTTTAGTATTTCGCGCCAAGCAGTCAGATGCCTTTTGAAAAGGGCAGGGAGCATTTCAAATAAAAATCAAGGTTATAAAGTTTTGTGTCCCGCCTAGTCAGTTGCTACTATGCATTGGACAAGTGAGCATCGTGCGTTTGCTGTCGAAGAGTGCCTTTATAATGGCCGTTTTATTATCGCAACCAAACGGGCATTCCGTACTCAGTTCCGTATTCGTCTTTTAGGTCGGGTTCCTGATCGGAAATTGATTGATACGTGGGTGAATACAGTTAGGACAAGTGGAAATGCTTTTTTATGGGGCTATCTTAAATTAATTGTTCACAGCGACTGTCTAAAGATTTTACCTCATTTGAAGAACAACATATGCCAACATACGCCAAGCCATCGTCAACATACCCGTCAATATGCTTCAGCGAGTTGAACGGAACTTCAAAAATCGCCTAACTAAATGCATTGACAATGCGGGCTTTCATTTGTCCGATGTCATCTTTAAAACTAAATGATGCGAAAATTCAGGCAGTTTCTTTTTCAATAAAATTTATATTATAATGATTTTTTATTAGTTCTTTTTTATTAAATTGTCAAATCAGAAAATTCCCCTCACCTGGGGGAGGACATGGGTGTTCCCCTCACCTGGGGGAGGACACGAGTGTTCCCCTCACCTGGGGGAGGACACGAGTGTTCCCCTCACCTGGGGGAGGACATGGGTGTTCCCCTCACCTGGGGGAGGACATGGGTGTTCCCCTCACCTGGGGGAGGACATGAGTGTTCCCCTCACCTGGGGGAGGACATGGGTGTTCCCCTCACCTGGGGGAGGACATGGGTGTTCCCCTCACCTGGGGGAGGACATGGGTGTTCCCCTCACCTGGGGGAGGACACGAGTGTTCCCCTCACCTGGGGGAGGACATGGGTGTTCCCCTCAAGTGGGGGAGGACATGGGTGTTCCCCTCAACGGGCAGTTTGCTGGCGTCCATGCCCCCCACCAGGTACAGGAGGCCCACGGTGCTCTTGCGTGGTCGTGTCCGCGTCAGCGCCTCCTCCGGGGCGTCGGGGGACAGCGGCACCTGGGGGAGGGACCAGGCACTGTAGTAAATTTTTATTTTATTTACCTTAAATAAAAAGATAACGGCCTATTTCAAAAGATTACCTGACGGTGTTTTTTTTTGCATCAGAGAAATAATAATAATGGTTTCGGAGCAATATAATATATTACCAGGCGCTGTAGTAAATTTTTTATTTTATTTACCTGCAATAAAAAGAAAACCGTTTGTCACCTGACGCCGGCCGCAACCCTTAAACTTATCAGAATGATCAGAGCCCTTACGGCCAAACGACAGCAACTGTCTTATACAAAGTTCAATTGCACTGGGATGTCCATTAAAACTTCGGTAACACGGATAAAACGTAGTTTTATTTCAACAAATAGCACTTGAAAGGGATACGTTCAAAAAGTAACAGAACCAGCACGATAGACATTACACTGCTTGATGGAGCATTTAGAGCACAGCCACACAAACTAGCATTGGATTTGGAATACAAGATCGCTAACTTAGCAACGGAGCGAGGTGAGTTCAGGCTAGAACCTCACTGTAGAGCTGGCGGGACACGACTGACTAACCGACTCACAGCCACTCAGACCTGACCTTGCACTACGTCACTACGGCTCAAGTAAGGTTCGAACCATCAATGTCACTACAGCGGCCACGCTAGATGTGGCTTTCGGTATGCAGTATGCACACGAGATTAGAAATGAACACGGCTAACAGTGAATGATGTTCATCGTTCACAGGTTAATTTCACAAGCTTACGTGACGGTGTTTTTTTTCGAATAAGAGAATTAATAATAATGGTTTCTGAGCAAAAATATATTACATAGGATGAATTTATATCACTAGGTTCCTCGGTTTGTTTACTTTGCATAAACATGTCACTAAAGCTTAAAGTGGTCGCTTCTTATTAGTCTTCTACTTGACACTCGACCCCATCCAGTCAGTGTGGTCCAAGCACGCCACTTGGCGCCCTTAAGGCCAGCATGGCGCCCTTAAGGCTAGCACGGAGCCCTTAAGGCCAGCACGGTGCCCTTAAGGCCAGCACGGCGCCCTTAAGGCCAGCCTGACGCCCTTAAGGCCAGCATGGCACCCTTAAGGCCAGCACGGCACCCTTAAGGTCAGCACGGAGCCCTTACCTTAAGGTGGTGCTGGAATGCCTCCACGAGGAGCCTGAGGCAGCGGAGGTCGGCCCCGAAGAGGGGGTTGAGGTGGACGCTGTGGCTGAGGTGATGGGGAGGCAGGAGGGGGAGGCGCACCAGCCCCAGCACCGTGGAGCTGTGCTCCTCCCGACCTGCTAGGTCGTGCTCCAGCCACGACACCACCGCCTGCACATACGGGGGGAAATTGTCCAAATATTGACTTTTTTGGGGAGAATTCGTCAGAACATTGACATTTTTGGGAAGAATCCGTGCAAATATTGACTTTTTGCGGAGAATTCGTTCGAATATTGATATTTTTGGGGAGAATTCGTTCGAATATTGATATTTTTGGGGAGAATTCGTCCAAATATTGACATTTTTGGGGAGAATTCGCTCGAATATTGACATTTTTGGGGAGAATTCGTCCAAATATTGACATCTTGTCGATTTTTATATGATTTTGTTTGTATTTGAAAGACCCTGACCCGCAGGATGGTCTGCACCCCTGACCTGCAGGATGGTCTGCATCCCTGACCTGCAGGATGGTCTGCACCACCCCAGACCTGCAGGATGGTCTGCACCACCCCTGACCTGCAGGATGGTCTGCACCACCCCTGACCTGCAGGATGGTCTGCACCCCTGACCTGCAGGATGGTCTACACCCCTGACCTGCAGGATGGTCTGCACCCCGACCTGCAGGATGGTCTGCACCCCTGACCTGCAGGATGGTCTGCACCCCTGACCTGCAGGATGGTCTGCACCCCTGACCTGCAGGATGGTCTGCACTGAAGACACGTTGAGGTCATCAGAGCTGAGCAGCTGCAGCAGCTCTGGAAGTCTGAGCTGCAGGAACTCTTGCTGCGTGCACACTTCAGAGAAGTGCTCTGCCGTGTACTTCTGAGCAGCGAGCTGCAGGTCAGAGCAGCTCTGAGACTCAGCGAAGAGTTGGATGCCGATGCAGTTGGTGGGGTGCAGCTGGGATGCCAGGAACCCACAGCACACCGACACCACCTCCCCCAGCAGCAGCTGGTGCGCCGTAGACAGCAGCCGCTCCACGCTCGCCTCCCGCACCTGCACGGGAGTGGGGTGAGTGGGATGAGTGGGGAAGTAGTGGGGAGAGTGGAGACAGCACGGGGAGTTTGGTATAGTGAGGTATAGTGGGAATAGTGTGATGGATATAGTGAGAGATAAGTGGGGAAAGTGGAGGGAGTGAGGTATATTGGGGGGAGTGGGTGAGTGAGGTGAGTTGAGGATTGAGGAGAGTGGGGTGAGTGGGGAGTGAGGCGCGTAGGGTGAGTGGAGTAATAGTGGAGAGAGGGAAGTGGGGTTGATTAAGTATCGTAAGGTTGATGCTCACTGATTAAGCTCTACCTGAGCATCGGGTTCGTTGATTAAGGTAGTGGGGGTAACTAAGTAGAACTAACTAACCACACTAAGTAAGACACATCTGTCCAGATAACGTATCTTGTACTATACGGGATAACGTATCTTGTACTATACGGGGTGGTAATACATTACGATACAAAGGTATAAGCTACGGCGTCGTCCGTAAGAGCGGAGCACCGAACGACACGTTTCATCGCAGAGCGCTTATCAACAACTGCGGTGGACTTACTTAAGGTTGCTGGCCCTTTTATAGGTTTCGCTTCCGCCCACAACTAAGGACTTGATCGCGTGATCTATCACGTGTCTTCCAGATGTTGACTGGTCATCAATCTCCATCAGGTCAATTGAATATTACGTCCCAATCACCTACAATTATAATGATTATAATGAGACGCCAGATGGACACCGGACACCACCCACCTCCAGCTCCCCCGTGTAGCAGTAATGTAGCACACCACCCACCTCCAGCTCCCCCGTGTAGCAGTAGTGTAGCACACCACCCACCTCCAGCTCCCCCGTGTAGCAGTAATGTAGCAGCGTGTACTCCTCAGGGTTCGATGAGCAGGCGCCTGCGCTCGATGACGACGAGCAGGAAGGGTCGCTGAACCCTGCGCTCACGCTCGTCGAGGTGCTCATACTGCCCAGGCTGCTCATGGTGACCAGTGAGGGGCTAGGGCTCACTCTCGTTGGGCTCGAACTGCAGGAGCAAATTACAATGTTAGTTTTTCCAGTACACTGAATCCCATAGTTAAGCGTTATATTTAAAAAACGACCAGTAATTTTTAACTTCACCCTCAACCGGAAAGATCGGTGTCCGCGATTAGGCGGCGGTCCGATGATGCTGATCGACAAGAGTATCCCATTTTGCTACTAATCCACTAGAGGACCACATCGCAGCCAACAACATTGATCTGACCATCATTAACATCTACATCCCACCACAAACCTTGCGTCCACCACCGACATGCAAAAAAACCTCGTAATCTTGAACACCTTAATACTCGGTGACTCCTCTCTGTTACTAAAGCAGCTTCGACACGAACGAAAAAATTTGGCAATCGAAATCGACAACTCAAATCACAGTGTCCTGAACGTTGTCTCACCAACCCGCAATCCAAACAAAGAACAACCATCCTCCGTCCTGTGGACCTACCGATCACTTATGACACCCTTATCACCTACTTGGACTNATTGGAGATGCAGAGGGGGGGTCCATCGGGGGTTGCAGCGGGGGTTCCATCTGTGGGAGATCGGCAGGCTCCCCCGGTATCGCTGGGTTCGCATCTCCCAAAACGGCGGGGATTCCTTCCGCCGCCCGGTTCGCTGGTTCAATGACCGGTTCTTCTCGGTTCATGCCTCAGCCGGGCGGTGCGAGCTGCTGGCCTGGCTGAGGTGTGTTCCTGAGTATATCACTGCAATATTGTTCTATGTGCACGATTGTTCCTTCCTTGCGTTTAGTTGTGTTTTTTGGTCACTTTTGTTCAGTTTTTCACTCTCAGTCTTCAGCTGTTCCTTATTTTAAAGCAGATCTTCTCAACAATTCTTATTACTAATAAGAGAACAGTACAGTCACGTTCTTTCAGCCCCGAACACTGAAGAACATAAATATGGCAGTGTTCCCGGAGCCAGCCAGTATCTTAATGTTCATAAGAGATTCATCGAAAATGTTCAATACCACACTTCTTCTCTACACAGCTGCAGAGTTCAATATAATACTGTTTCTCAGCACTTCTGCAAAAGAAAAAATATAACTCCGTATAACTCACTGCAGTGAATGAAAGAGCTGTCTCTTATACACATCTNGATCTCAATGTCCGTGAATAGGAAATAATTAGCTGGAATAGCATTCAAAATGTCAACCAAATATCTTATTTTAAGTCGAAGACTACAGAACTTTTTGAACTATTAATTGTATGAGAATTCATTGAACTATTGAGAACTTATTAATTAAAGTATTAAGAACTTATTGAAGAAATCCCATAGGCAACAGCTCGGCCTGTATGGCAGCTGAGCGCAGTATAAACCAGCTTCTTTATAAAAACGCTTGTAGAAGTTATTTACTGAAAACGTAACTTATTAAATGTGTTAAGTAATAAATAAGAGATGTCCCAAGTGATTATTCTGCAAATAATGAGTATTCAAATTTACAGGTAGAGATGTTAATATATAAATGGGTTAAGAAGTTACAACGTCTTGTGTCATTGAATGTGAGTAAGAAGCGGCAGCACCAACAGTAGCCTCAACAGCACCACTAGCTGCACCAGCAGCACTAAAAATATCAACATCAGTAACACCAGCACCATCAATAGCATCTGAAACACAGGGACCAGTACCACCAACGTTACACCAGCACCACCAACGTTACACCAGCACCATTAAGAGCATCTAAACACCAGCACCAGCACGACCGACATCAGCAGCAGCACCTGCACAAGCACAGCCCTAGAAACACCAGCATCATCAAATTTAAATGCACCAGCACTAGCAGCAGATGAAGTAACACCACCACCATCACAACAAGCAGCAGCACCATCAGTAGCATCTAAAACACAAGCACCAGCACCGCCTACATCAGCAGGATTACCGGCAGCAACAGCCCTAGAAACACCAGCATTACCCACATCAGCACCAGCGCTAGCAGCAGCAGAAGTAACACCACCACCATCACAAGAAGCGACATCACCACCATCCCTGATGATGGTGTGGCCCTGAGATCGCCGTTGCTGCGCGGCCTTGACGCGACAGCGGCGCACGCTTCCGGACACATGGTACGCAAAATAATTGTCATTTTACTGCTTTTTATAACTGTTATTTTATGTTTTATTGTTCTAATAAACTTATTATACAGTGTGATCTGACTTATGTTTTATTGTCCTATAAAACTTATATTATTGTATATATGACATATCTTGGGCTGCCGCTATACGCACAAAATGCAGCACTATAGGGACGAGAGTAACGGTACCCCTGCGAGGCAGGAGGGTGAAAAATATATGCACCAACACACGCAACAGCTGCTGTTGATAATTATGTCTCGTTAATAAATCTTGCCTAAAATAAATGATAAATATGATTAGGACATCATCACAGTCTATTAATTACATCAGTATAAATATAAGAGATGAATGCTGCTTGCTAATTAATCGCGCACGTTGCTTACTAAATAAATCAAATAAAAGCTATCAATAATGCACCACGCACGTCACCCACGTCAGCACCACACACGTCACCCACGTACGTCACCCACGTCAGCACCACGCACGTCACCCACGTCAGCACCACGCACGTCACCCACGTCAGCACCACGCACGTCACCCACGTCAGCACGTCACCCACGTCACCCACGTCACTGATGCAGAGCGCGCGTCTGACTGCCGTGGTCAACGCGTGCAGGCATGCAGCGGCTGAAGGCCATTCATGTGAAGGCCATTGAATTCATTCACGGGTATAATCCTTTGAGACGAAATTCAATAAATTGAAGTGTGTTGTTGAAGACCAGGTACGAAATATACATGGAGGAATATTGATGAAAGTATTGAGAATCATCCTTACTTTAATTAAATCTATTGAATTATATTTACTTTGATTTAATTTTAGTTTAAATTTCTAAGAAGTCTAAGTTATTTTTTTCTTCTTTTTTTCAAGTACTTTTTTAATATGTAAAATGTAGCTTGATTTAATACACAAAACTGGGCAGTAACAACCCCCTTTGTTTGTAAACAATTTCTGAAAGAGAAGCAATCATTTGGGATTATATGGATAAATTGCAGCATTTTTCCAGTTCGTTCAGTAATGATGAAACTCAATTTATTTCAATACAAAATAGACCTCTATGAAAAAATTCCTAATGCTAGACCAAAATAATTGGAAAGAGATACTGAAGTTTCTGGACTTGGTTGCTGAAGATTTTCTACAGCTTATTATTATTAAGAATGGCTTATTATATCAGCCTTCAGTTTTGCATGGCAGCACAACATTTCTTGCAAGACGAGTTTTTGGAGATTTAGAAATTTATTTCAGTACCTACTTGGTTATGCTTATATATTAGACAGATTATTTATGTCTGATTACTAGCCTTCCAGTGTGTTGAAGATCATATAGAGGATAATTAATTTATTAAGTAGTAATATTGCAACAGTTTTCAGACCACTTACCATGTTTGGCTCTTGGAATTGGCAAACCAGTGTGAGAAGAATTGCTGTAAGTGCCTATATATATTACAGCAAGTATTACCTATATATTTGTTAAAATCTCAAGAAAATTTTCTTATCAACATGCATTAAAAATTTGCACTATGCATTATACTTGTCAAGCATTAAAATTATAACAGGACCTCCTCAAGCTTTAAAACATATATGTTTATCTCAGCCAAAATAACAACAATTTTACCTATATATTTGGGAGATGTCTTTGCATCTCATTTACCACTGGTCTTATAACAATCTTTTGCCCTGTATAATACTGTTCAATGACCAGTATTATTGTGGTTTTTAGCAATGAGCAGCAAGATAAGTATTAAGTAAGTGCACTTAAGTGCAGTGTATATCTGCTTAGTGGCAACTAATGTGTCAATTGTCATTGATGGTAGCAGAAACCTTGTGACACCAAAATATGAGGAAAGCTCTAGTTGCAGCATGTAAAGTATATATATCTATATTCCATGTGAGCTGATCAACCTAGCATACTTATGAAATTCTTCCGTAAAGCTCAAAAAAAAGGACCTTGAGAAAAAGCCTATCATGACTAGAAAGTGTTGATTTTTTGCAACAGACAACTTTAAAAGTATTCTACATACATTGACATATATATTGCCACTTGGCAAATATTGCAAAGAAACTACCTACTTTTTCACTGAAGAAATTTTGAAATGGTCATAAGATTGAGGAATGGGTAAAATTGGCTTAATTCATAGACATTTTTGTTCAATTCATGCTTCATACACAACTACTGACCAATTTTACAGTCGGATCACAGCTTGTAACTACAAACAGTATAATAGGTACTGGTTGCTGGTCAGAATGATAATCTAATTAGGAATGTCAGGCCAAAGTTCACTGAAATCTCAGGTAAAAACTAATGTATCACATGTGATTTTTGAAAAATGCAGGCAAAAATAGGTTATTTTTCTTATTTTTAACACATTCACACTTGCTGATGGCAATAACTGTCCCACATGCAAGAACAGCTCTCAAAAATCACTGAGCAGTGAGCACCAGCATATATACTGCATATAAAATTATAATGCACCCAAATTTGGAAACCATTATTGCTCAAATGAGGCAAAAATAAACAACAGACCATTGACAGATTGACTCACCATTCAAATATATATTTATATTTTGTATCACATGGTCTAATTACGCTCTGTAATTGTGCCAAATTGACTTAAGTTGTATAGTCCATTTACATGCATTGTTATTATGTATTGATTGTGTCTATTTCGCTGGCAGGGAGGATGTCGGCAAAGTAGTCCTGACATTGACATACAGGTTCATACCCTACCCTACTTGCCGCAACCAGTCAATCATCAGAAGGCACCTATGGCACATCTCAAGCGATGTTGCCTTCTTTAGTTCTGTGATTAACGTTTGCTTGCATTGTGATGCAATGGTGATCTATGAAAGAATCTTCATATCCAACCGCAGCACAATGCGGATGCATAAGTTTGTGTGTATGGTGTGTGATAGACTGATAGCGTTGTCACACGTTCATATTTAAACTATTTTAGCCTTGTTGGAGTACGGTGCATGGCACATTTTTTTTTACCAGCATAGTACGGTGCAGCAGGTAGGTTTATTAAAAGACAATTTAAATTCTTGTGCACCTGTGAGGCTGTGACCACTGACCAGTGACCTGGCACATCTTCCTGACCATGTGTATGACCCAAGGTTTGAATTTTGAAGGGAAAACATTTTCACGGCAATAAAGTATCGCACAAACGCAGTTCATACAGCAGAATGAAAAAATTAGTTTTGCTCAACCAATTTTTGTCATGTTGATTTGAAATCTCAAAACTAATTACAATTTACAAATTGTCAAAAATGCATTTTACTATCTTTAACTTTTTAAGCAATATTAATAAATGTTCTAGTATTTTCCTATGATAACAAAATTTTTATATTGAGTGAATTTTAATAAATATTTCATTTTCCCAGCAGCGTGGCAACTTTATTGAGGTGGTGACTTTAGTGGCATTGACGGCAGTCGGTAAAAACTGAGTTTAGTCTTGTTTATGAAATACTAGGTCTGAGTAGGTCATTTCTATTTAAGGTTAGCTACAAACTAATAATTAATTATAAAACTGGTCATGGTCACCATAATATTACCAAATACCATTTGTAGGGTTAGGAGTTTTGGACATTACCTCAAGTCCTCAACCACATTGCTAATAGCTAACTAAGAAGCTTTTTCATTCAGTCAAGCTGTCCCAATTCCCAAACAGCCAACAGCAACTAAAAAATCTAATTGAAATTTAAATAACAACAAGAACTCAAAAAGCAATCGAACACAAAACCAATCAATGAGTCAAACATATCTCAACATAGCCAAACAAGCAATCCGACAAACATTCCACAACATAACCTTACACTAACCGACAAGACGCAACTAAAAGTGACTCGTGAGCCATGATCCTTGAAGCTAACATCGCCAGGAGCGCACACAACCCAGCCATGCACCACTAATTTTGAACACCAACTCACCAATCAGCTGTGAATGGAACGCTGAGCATCTTTCCGTAAGGCCACAAATCAGCCGCGGATTACGGCTGATTTTAACATGGCGGGTGGCGGCGTTTTCATAAGCACCGATGGCGTTGTTGAAGCTTAAAATATTAATAAAAGCAGTGAAGTGTGTTTTGGAATGCAATAATATTACCTTCAGAAAAAAAGAGATGTGATCTGAAAATGAGAAGTGACTAAGAGAAATTTCTATGAGTTTGGACTCGAGTGGACGTGTGTGATCGTAAGTCATTGAGCAACTACGGCCGTACCCTTTCTCAGTTTCTGCATCATTGAAATCTGTCCCACGCAGAAACTAATAAACCAAAGATAGCTTTTAAATCGTATTTTTTTGTTTGTGTTGCTGTTTTTCTCCCTGTTTCATCTTAGGAAAATACAGAATAGTAAAATAAATATGTCCTCTTACATTTACGGTGTGTATTAGTTGCTGTCTAAGTAGGCCTACTATAAAAAAATAATGGGCGAGCAAATGCCAGCCAAAAAATGGGGGGATAGGCAATGAGGAGAGCGAGATCAAAGCTGACCAAGTGGAGTGTTCCAGGAGCAAAACTTTGTACTGAACACACTCTTTTACTACCTTTCCTATCATTAGCACAGTCATAACCCTCTACCGCCTGACATGAGTGACCGAAGCAATATTGTCACGCGTCTCCTTCCCAAAAATGATACGTTCTAGTGAGCGCAAAACGACTTGCATTGATGGTTGTCGCCACGCACAACTTTAAAATGTTCTCTGTTGCGTGCAAGCGTCCTCATGTTGCTACACTCAATAGTTTATGTATAATTTGAGTCGAAAGTTATGTTCCCGAAGAGTGGCATACGGCGGTAGAGGGTTAATCCGTTCATTTGTAGCCTCGTTCAGAGGATTCTTTTTAGTATACGGTATCTAGTTAAATCTTTCCAAGTCTGTCTACTTATAATTTCTTTAAAAGTAAAGTTGGTTTGAGCGTGACCTGTTCACTATACTACGCACCATCGATCACCGTTAACTCCTCTGAGGAAATGAGCAACAGATGGCCGGGTGGGCGCCTCGAATAAATTTGGATACTTTAATAATAGAATATAATATAGGTGTCGGCGCTGCAGACATAGGCCCGTGGCCAGTTGCCGATTCTTGTATTTAACGTGACTTGTTCAAAGATATAAAATCTGGCCTTTTTGTCAACTTTTTCAAGAGTGACATTTGTTTGAAATATCTAGTGGACTTATTACTAAGCGCGTAAGGATGGACGAGAAAAACGAGCTAACTTTTACCCGATATGCTCTAACAGTATTCTAATGGTAAAATAATTGACCAACACAAAAGAGTTGACTAAGACAAAAACTAATTTTTTAGTAACGGAGACCCAAATGCTCATTACCTTGTTTCTAGAACCATTTTAATTGTGAGTCATGCTATTCATTTGATTACATTAGGCTATTCATTTGGTTACAACAATTAAAATGATGACGCACTGTTCTGATCTCCACAATAACTCTAAACTTCAGTTCAGTTCAAATAAACATTCCCCAGTTTGTACTAAGGTTTATAAAATAATAAACGTTACTTTTAAATCTTTTATTGGAACGCTAGTTGCCAACACCTCACGCAGGTGGCTTAGCCCCCCACTCACCCCCACGGAATGTAACCCCACAGGTCAGAGATCAGATTTATCGTCACATCCCTGACATAGCAACAGAAAGGATCGCACACAAAATAATCTTCAGCGAAACAGACAAACAAAAGGGAAATTTTTTAATATATAGAGATTGTATTTCTAGAGCCGTGAAGGCAGACGAGGGTAAAGGGAAAGACAGACGAGGGTAAGGGGAAAGGAAGCGAGGGCAAGGTAAGAAGATGATGAGGGCACAGCAATGGGAACTCCCCGCTGGGTGCTGGCGTGTGAGGGGTTCATGAGGGGGATGGATGGGGATGTATAAAGGATACCGTATGTTGTTCGGGTAATGGAAGGAGATGCGTGTAATGGAAGGGGTAATGGTGGTAATGGATGGGGGATGTGTAATTGATATGTTGTTCAGGTAATGGATGGGGATGCGTTTAATGGAAGGGGTTATGGTGGTAATGGATGGGGGATGTGTAATGGATATGTTGTTCGGGTAATGGAAGGAGATGCGTGTAATGGAAGGGGTAATGGTGGTAATGGATGGGGGATGTGTAATGGATATGTTGTTCAGATAATGGATGGGGATGCGTTTAATGGAAGGAGTTATGGTGGTACTGGAATGAGGATGTGTGTAATGGATGGGGGATGCGTGTAATGGATGGGGTATGCGGGCAGAATTGCACATGAAAGTCGTAAGTATATAACATAAATTAAGAGAGTTCGTACATGAATGATACTTTCCACGTAACTATGAACCGGAATCCTTAGTGAACAATTAAACTCAAGCAGATGAAGGTGACAAGTTATTTCAATACCGAATGCTTATTACCCTAAAGCCCTTATAGTAAGTTTAGAGATTATCCTGAATATAGGTTTATAATTTTAGACGCTGAAAGTAAGAAATAGATAATTACGACTGAATCTTAAGAAAAATCAAGTATTTTGCTCGAAAAAGTGAACCTACCAAGAATATACCCCAACCTACACTCACTGTGTCACGAGATCGCGGCTCCCGCGAACACAACTTAAAATAACTTACAACTTTGCGCTAAAAGTTTCAAGTTCAAGTTTACTTGCATAAGAAAATAAATGAACAAGCGTAGCTACAAATTAGCTACAAAAATTGTGACATTGCCTTGAAATACAAACACGCTGAGGACACGAAATACCCAGAGGCCGAGGACACGAAATACCCAGAGGCCGAGGACACGAAATACCCAGAGGCCACACCAACATTGGCGGCCTCAATCGCCAAGGTATACATGAGAAAACATTTCATTAAATTTTAAACGAAACTTTCATCAAGAGAGAAGCTACGGACCTACCATCACATGGTAATCTTTTATTTCAACTTGTTAATTGATTACAGAAGTTTATCATTCACGGCTTTAATTAAAAGAATGTTTAATTAGATGATGCAGATAATTCGGGACTCGTATTAGATGTGTTCGAGTATCAGCGGCTAAACATATTAATGCAGGCGTTAATTCTCGCGTTTCTCAATTAAATGAACAGTTCAGAGTTTGGGAAAGTTTCCTAGACGTGCTCTTGAACTAAAAGTTTTCTGAAGAATATACAAGTGTTTCCCAAATGCGACTCGCTTCCATTTTACCGCAGCTTAAGACTTAAGTCAACCGTAAGAAGCCATCACGGCATGATCTGTCTAACACAATAGTCACATTTTGATGGAATTGAGTGGAATTTGTCAACTGTATTCAAACTTTTAAAAGTTTTAGGACATTCTGGAATGTTGCTTGAAGTTTGGAATTTCCTTCAAGCGTGCGAATTGGCGCGAGTTTTCAAAGCGACAAATGGAAAATAAATTACTGAGCCCGGAGACAGCCAGTGAAGCTACGATGACAAATCGTTATCTCCAGCATTGTTATCCCTGATATATCGGGTGCAGAACAGTTTAGCCACTGTACATTAGGATATATTTCACAGTACTGGGCATTATTGTACAATATCCAGCTGTAGCATACGTACAATGTATGTAGCGTACAATGTAATGTACAATGTAAAGCAGCTGTATTGTACAATACGTATCCTGCCTCCTTATAAGGAGGCAGGACACTATATGACCGACTTCATATAGTGTGAAGTGTCAAGGCTCAAGTTGAACTGAAGTTAAAACGAACGCTTCCAGCAAACTGACAATGTTAATGCTCCTTCAAACATAATGACGTGTTTATCAAATTCCAACATAGCCAAGATACTACTAATCCGGGACCTCAGTTAGGCAGAACATTTTTAAATAAATCTTTGATATCTGTTGTTAACTTTTATCGAGTCCTACTTAAAGTTTTGGTCCTTTGGGTAAACTCGCTGTGATTAATGTTAACGCAGAGAGATCAGAGACATGGCTCCTAATCAGCGTTGGTCATACAAAATACTACACAAATTAGAGTATTAATCTCATAGTAGTAGTAATTAGAAGAAACATATTGAACTTGCACTCGTGCAAGGAATGTTTCAGGCATGAATGCACATAACACGTAAGCAAATGAGGTAAAAGATCACATACACGATG